AATTTATTTTCGCTATTTTCGCTGAAGAGATGATTCCGTGAAAATAAAATCCAGCGAATATACTTTTTTTCCTATATTTCACATTAAACTCATTAAAATCAGTGAAAATAACTTCCAAGCAAAAGGCCCAAAAAGCCTTTTCAGCGAAAATTAATTCCAGCGAAAATAAAGTATTTCACAGTATATCTCTCAACTGCTTCACATGCATAGTTTAAGACTGCCTAACCGGTGCTGACACCAGGTTTTACCTAGACGGTCTGTGGTTACAGATTCATGTTCTGAGCAATCGCAAGAAATTGACATTACAATAGAAAATAAAAGACTGGCACTCCCATGCAATTAATAACAAGTTACATTCCTGGGATTGAAGCGTAGATTATGAAGTCATTGGTGTAGTCTGTGAATAACTTCAAGTTGGCATAAAGACGAGGTAGTTTATTTAATCAGTGCTGAACTAGAGGCTGAAATTATAATTAAGTTCGTTGTCATATAATTTGTTTATTTCAATTTCTCCTGAAGTCAAATAGAATACATGTTTTGGGGGTGTAGTTTACATTGTGTTTGGAGTGGTAGGGTTGGGTTTCATATAATTTGTTCATTTCCAATTCTCATGAAGTCACATAGAATTTCACTTAATTTATTTTCGATGAAACGTTTTAAAGCATTACGAGTGAATCCAATTTTTACTGTGCTGTGTTAAGTCTCAATAGAGTATGAGGGAAATTTTCACTGGAATTTATTTTAGCGGAAAAATGTTTACATTGAAAATGTATTCCACATTATTACATATATACTGCAGTTTATTTTGATTAGTGCCTGAAATCAAAATCAGTATTACCACACCCCATATGCAAATGTGGTCTGGGAGCAAAAAAAATTAGTCATTTCAAGAGTAGCGTTTTTCGAAACATAGCAGAAATATACAATATTTAGAAGTACGATATTTTACACTTTGGTACATGAATATACTTGTGAATATATACGGGTAATACAAGTGAAATGAAATTTGAACAACACTAATATAAAGGTCTACGCAGTCACTTATTTTGACTAAAACTAATTTGCACATCACCAATAAAATAATGTTTGTTGTATTTTCATGGTCAATATTCAAATGAACATGGTATTGGCAATCCGCTCCACTACAATTGCCCTTAAAATCACTTTTGTGTGTCTGTGTGTGATTTCCAGTGTTTTCACGTAAAAATTCTTCTGTTTTTTTTTTTGGCTTGACCGATTTCGCTCAAACTTAGCAGGTAGGTCACACCTTCACCCTAGTTATTAGAAAAATCTGAAAAAAAATTTCGCCCATCATTGCCATAGCAACAGCAAAAAAAACCTGATTTTTGGATAGCTTCGCACTAAATGTATTTCCTGCTACAAATTTAGGATACAAAACCTCAGACATAGCTCATTCTACTCAGCTTGAGTGTGGGCACAAAGTTACTATTTGTAAAATCTGAAAACAAATGATGTTTTGAATACCTTCATGCCAAATGTATCACACCCTACATTTCTATGATTAAAAAGCATGGACGTTGCTCATTCTACTCAGCTTGAGTGTGGGCAACAATTTACTGTTTTTTATGTATATTTTCAACATTGGGGTAACTTTTCACCAGCAACGGCTTTTAACTCGTCTGAGATTTGTCTTGGCTTGGCTAATTTTGTTCATACATATGCAAAATTCAAAAACACTTATAATTTTGAGTCATACTTAAATTGTCTTCCGAAAAAACATCAAGTCTGCATGTCACGCTTCCGAACAAGTAACCATTGTTTGGCTATTGAAAAAGGAAGGCACACACAGCCAAAAACTCCCATTGAAAAAGGAATTTGTAATTTGTGTTCCCAAAATAAAATAGAAGATGAAGTTCACTTCCTTTTAGAATGTGATCGGTACAAATATATTAGACATGAATTGCTCACAGAAATTACATTAACTAATGCAGGAGATAAATTGAGTAATTTTATATTTTTGATGAGCAACAAGGACTCCAAGGCAATTAAATGTATGGGGACCTATCTACTTAAAGCCATGGAGTACAGAAAACTTTAACATATCTATTTATATTGTATTGTAATTGTGTTGTGTATGGATATATTTATTGCTTTTTATCAAAAGAAATATTGTAATTTCTAAGGATGCAATAAAATTTGATTATTATTATTATTATTATTATTATTACTTGACAGGCAGGTCGTACCGTCACTAATTGGAAAAACAATCATGGCCTACAGCTACCATAGCTACAGCCAAAAACTGTTTTTTGAATACTTACCCCCAAATTTATTGCCTCCTACCAGTCTTGTAATAGCAGTGTTCAAATGCCAGTCTAGTCCTACATTGGCAACAGCTGATAACATATTGCTTGTTTTTTGAGTGGAGCGGATCGCCAACCAGCCTACCGGCTTGTTTTCATTGGCAACCAAACTATTTTTATTTTGTGAACAAATTTTCGTCTGCTAATTTTATCCAGTTCAAATCATTCAGTCAAATTTTTGGCATATTATAGGTGTACATCACATGGAATACTACGATTGAGAGAACTTGATGTATGTTGACTGAGTTTTATAAACCCTGAAGGACTCTTGGAAGATTCACCTGCAGTAAAATTAGTGATTTACCATTGAGGCGCGACCATCAACATCAAAATACCGAGAGGTTTCTGCTGGCGAGGTTGCGACGTTACCCAGTTCCAAATAAAGATTACCAGCACCAAATGAGCAACATTTTAACCGGTAATCAAGATTCATTTAATCCACGGCTAACAAGCAAGATCACAAGCAAAGTTGTAGCGTGCTGCTCAGCGACGACCGCTGACGACGCAAGTCATCCCGTCAGTACTAGTGATGTACCGCAGTAGCAGGGCATGTTTGCCTTCACCATTGTATTCAAACAAATCACGTGGTGTGCCGTTCTCTTTCAAACCCGGGAATCGATCAATAGGGACTTTCAGTAAAAAAATATAAAAAAAAAAACCATCGCAAGTCATGCAAGTTCAACATTTTCAAACCAGTATACTAAAACAGAAATGCTCAGCGATGCAAAAGAATGATAGATATTACTTTTCACTATACACATCTCTGTTGATTCTATCCCTCACATATTCTATTCTCAATTACTCCTGCGTAAAATGGACTAGTATTTTTGACTCCCATGTGCGAAGCACAAAATGGGAGTCTTTGCAGTTAGTGTGTCTGTATGTGTGTATGTGTGTATGTGTGTATGTGTGTATGTGTGTATGTGTGTCCGACTGTTCCACTGCTATCTCAAGAACCATACATCGGTTTTTGATGAAACTTGGTGCATAGATGCTCTGGGCCAATGCGCAGATTTGATTAGGTTTTGGTAAAAATCCATGCTCGTTAATTACCTAATTTGCATGATAATTAGCTAATTTTTAGCTGTTCTATGACTGTTCCACTGATATCTAAAGAACCACTCATTGGATTTTGATGAAACTTGGTACATAGATGCTCTGAACATATGCGCAGATTTGATTAATTTTTGGTAAAAATCCGTGCATATTAATTACCTAATTTGCATGATAATTAGCTATTTTTTAGTGGTTCCATGACTGTTCACTGATATCTAAACAACCACTCAT